AGAAGAGAAGAGAAGAGAAGAGAAGAGAAGAGAAGAGAAGAGAAGAGAAGAGAAGAGAAGAGGCTTTATTGTCATTCCACTATACACTATACACCAAGTGCATAATAAGAATCTCAAAAAGATTAATGAGAATCTCAAAAAGAGATGAGAATTTTAAAGAATGGTCCTAGAGAATGGTGCTGGCATAACTTGATTTACGTATATCCTTTTCATTTTTTAACCTCATGCCTTAATTTCTTCAGCTGACTATTTCTTTTCTGTGCTTTGCATAATGTTGTATAATCAGTATGTAACTACATATGTATATTAAAAATTGTAAATCCATTTTTAAATCCATCTTGGCATTCAGGTTTTGCAAACTCCTTGATGTAAGCCTGTTTATTTGTATCTGGCCTCTGATCATGTATTTCTACATAATTCTACTCAAAATCTACTTCAGCTTTTCCAAACCTTGGCATACACTACATATGGACTTGAACTTTAGACACTGTAAACCACAGGGAGTCTACTGGCAGTCTATAAGAATGGAAAAATAAGAATCCAAAAAATAGCTGCCAAAATTTCCTAACCAGCACCTAGAGGAGGATGCCAAGATTGGGGAAATGTGATCAATGTACTTGGGATGCTTCAAACAGTCTTTAACAAGATATGCAACAGTCCAGTTTGGATCCAAGTATGGCTTCTGTTTACTCTTTCATTTCTAGAATGAAATGAGATCCTTTCATTTCTAGAAGGCTTTTGAATTAGCTGAAGAATTCCATTGACTGAACTCATTTCCAACGCTTCTGAAAATCTGCTCTAGAAGATTCTTCAGAACACTAACTAGGGAAAAGAAAACTGATAAAGAATGTGTGGCTGATTTGATCTGGCAGGATTGGCATGCTCTGGGTTCCATCAATTAAACAATGCCATCTACTGGGACCCGGGAAGCAAGCGTTCTCTGTAGCAGCACCTGCCCTCTGGAACGAGGTTCCCCTGAAATTCCAACAACACCCATCCTGCTGGTGTTTCAAAGAGCCTTGAAGACCTAGGTCTTCGCTCAGGCTTTTGGCAAAGGTAAGTGAAGCCCCCTTTAGAACATATGGGTTGTTTTCCTTTGTTCTCCTCCGGTTTTGCCATCTTTGCTCTTCAATTTTTGTCTCTTGTTTTTGTTTTTAATGTTTTAAACTGTTTGAAAACCACCCAGTCACTGAGAATCAGGGGGTATGTAAATTTAATAAATTATTATTATCTGTAGAGATGTTCAAAATGAAAAAAGATGCAAATTGCAGTAGATGTGTAACATACTCCAACAATCCTTTTCATAGCCTCCAACTTAGCAGAATCTTTGCTGCTTTCCAACATCTGCTTGAGATCTTCATTTCTATAAAAGAGAAAATGAATATATGAAGTTACTTGCATCACAACTGCTTGTGAACTTATTAATCATGAAAACAAAACAGGGATCCAACACACAACGTCAGGATTTCAGCAGTGCTGGAACTTATCCAAATAAAACCTGTTGCAAATCCCATTTTGGAGGAATATTAAGCACTTCCCTAGTAGAACAAATCAAACATACAAAGCATACATAAAAATTAATTTTGAAGGGTGACTTATAATAGTAGTATATGAGAGAAAAGCTAATATGGTCTAACTATTACAATATTTCAAAAGAAAATGGCAAAGAGATAATCATCTCACTGTAGTAATTCTTTCCAGCTCGGGTGCATACTTGGGTAACTCTTGCTCGCACACAATGTTATAGAGAAAGCCTTCTTTCTACTAAGACAAAGAACACTAAAAATAATCCCCAACAGCAATTATGACGAACGCTCAGACGCATTAATGCCAGTCATACATTAACAGAACAACATAAAAGATAGTGAAGAAATAGTGTCAAGCTGTCCTTCTCTTGGAGGAAAAAAGGCACCTTCCACTGCTGGCATAGCATCTATTTTTTTTTTAAGACTAGCCAGCATCCCCAAAAGTTATTTTGGACAGCAATCCTACAATACATTTAGTGTAATGCTTCAATAGTCATTTTATATATGTATGTACATGTTGGATTCAAAATAACCAACAAAACAAACTTATTTAAAATAAGAATAATAGACAAAGTTAAATAACTTTCCAAAATAATAAATAACAGCATTAGTAGAAAAATGCACACTTTGTATTTTAATGCAAACATGCCTAAATCATAATTGCTAAGCTTATACATGAACTGGAATAGAGTTATATGCTCATATTGGAACTTTAAGTATTTGCAAGAGAAACACAGGAAACCACCTTTACTAAAAAAAACTATTGGTCCATATTGCCTCATACTGTACACATCAATTGGCTGCAGTTTTCTAGAGATTCAGACCTATTTGGAGACATGTGGAATTAAACTTGGGGCATTCTATATATATGTATGTGATCTTCCATTAAGCTAATCTGGACAAAATGTGCCTATTAGGAAAAATGTGGGAAAATTCCACATGCATTAGGAGAAACCCACATGAAAACAGGAGCAGATTTTCCTGCATTTTTAATCACAAATATGTATAGAAATAAGACTGAATTAATTTAACTGGAGAAATAAGGAACTGAGCAAAATCAAACTAGACAGATCTGTCCATCTCTAATTAACATGGTCACACTATCCTCTCTTCCACACCTTATTCATCAGTGAGAGTATGTCAACTGTTAACTGGCTAAAACAATTTCTATCTAAAAATGAGATGAAAAAATACATCCAAAAATACTTGGAGCATGTTAGAAAAAAGGTTTTATACCTTCCCATTTTGGTAAATAATTCCCATCATGCACTGAAAAATCTTCATTTTAAACAAAGTTTATAAGTTACAAAAAAGAGCATCATGTTAGACTTCTGGATATTTAGGGAGATGCAGCTTTCTAAAGACTATCTCAAATCAGTTCATATTCTACTATTACATTTAGAGCAATAAATACTACATTTTGTCAGAAGGTCAATTTCCTTTAAATGTGCATTTGAACTTAATTTGTGTTTTCATATTTTTTGACATCCATAAAATCCAGGACACACAAACAAGAGAATCCTCTCAATAACATAAAAGGGAAAAAAAGTAGTTTTCTATTCTTTAACTTTAAAAATATGCTTTTCTGCATGGAATTCAGAACAGCAGTACATACAAAAGGGCATTTGTATACAGTAGCTAATATAAATATAAGTCTCCTAGGAAGATGCTTATTAGATAAATTGTAATTTTTGAAGTGTACAAGTGGAGAGATGAGCCACAGTGATCTCTTTGGAGAAGAGGAGGCTGCTTTGCTCAGTTAAGGACACCACTCCCTCTATGATGACCTGGGTCTAGCTAGCAAATTAGATATTATCTGGGGACTAAATCCATCTAACCTAACAACCTTTGATGGAATGATAAAAGCATAGTCTAGGTTTCAGAAATTGTGCCTTTGTATAATGGGATTACATGGAGAAGGTCATTGGGAAACAAAAACTTATTTCCATATATTCAGGACTCACAGCATGGGATTTATCAGATGCTTAGAGTACATTTCTACATTCTAGTACTTAGAAAGACAAGAAAAAATAAGGAAAGAATGGTCTTCCTACAAATATTCAAGCAGGACACACAAATCATCTCTGCAATGAACTGTGCTGAAACCAAACTGCATATTGAGGGAAGTGGTATTATTATTATTATCTTTGGTCACACAGTCAGCCAGATGTTTAGACTGGATTTGGCATTTTTATCCACGTATCAAGTCCTTCCCAAGGATCTAGGATAGGCAGATGTCATTGTTTGATGGTGTTAAAGATATCATCCACAGGATGTAAGCTGTTCCAAGTAAAGCTACCTTTTGCAATTGACTGATGATTTTTTCAATGCCAATGGTCTTCAAGTGGTGCTCCAGATGTTTTGGGATTGCC